TCTGTGGTGGTCAGCTCGATCTGGTACTAAAAAGTGCAAAACTGTATCACAAAAACTCTTCAAAAGTTGTAAGAAAGCAGGTGGGGAAGCAGCTGAGGCAGCAGGAAGGGGGTCAGGCCCCTTTGGCCCTGGCACCTCCTGGCCACCAGCCTGTGGGAAAGGGGCCGAGGACAAGGGCTGGGCCTGCTGGACCACAGCACCCTGGCCCAGTTGTCATCCCCCACTTGGGTCTGTCCCACATGGCACAGCGGAGCCGCGCTGGAGGAAATCAGCTCCTGGCTTTTTCACACTGAAGAATTTAGCCCAGTCGGTGGGTTTTGGATATTTCCTCTCCCACAAGGAAGGGAGGGAACGAGGGGCCCGCAGGCAAGCGCGGGTCAACGGGAAAGAGGGTGTAAGTCTGACGGAGGCGGCCCTATGGGCAGCTCTACAGGCAAGGACTGGGAAGGGCCCTGCTCTGCGTCCACCTCCCGCAAAGGGGCCTGGACGGGCCTGAGGGGCCCCAGCCCCGCGGGCTGGGACGGGCAGCTGGGTGAGGGCGCTCATGCCCCGTGTTGTGTGCCTCAAGAGGATGGACTCATGCAGGCTCTCAGCGGGCACTCGGTGTCCACCCCAGCACCTGGTGGCAGGAACGGAGCTGCAGCGCGGGCGGCCGATGCCCCTCGCTTACGATTTGTGGGGGTGGCCGGGGGGCTGGCGGCTGGCGCGCTCCGAGATGTTGCGCTTGACCTTGGTGCCTGCGCTGGGGGCCTCCACGTTGAGAGAGGGACTGGAGCGGGACTTTTTCAGGCCATCGTCCTCACTGCCCGCTGCATCGAAGAGCGTGGACTCAAACGCTGCCAGGTCCTCCGAGCCGGCCTTCAGCTTGGCCCGCAGCAGCATGGCGTAGGTGCCGTAGCGGGATTTCTGGGGGCAAAGTGGGGTAGGGTGAGGGGAAGGGCTAGCGCTCATTCCGTGGGGGAGGCTGGCTCTCGCACCCCCCAGCAGCCCACCCAGTGAGCTGACAGCCCCGCGCGTTTCCCTGCGGCCCCCTAGTCCCGGGATCCCTCCCGCCCTGCTGAGGAGCGGGACCAGCACCGGCGAGCCACGCTGCCGCAGTACTAGGCACTGGCGTGGGCAGCAGTGCCTCTGAGCGAGGCGCCTCGCAGGGAGCCGGCACTGCTGCCACTGCAGAGGTAGGAGGCAGGAGCCGCAACTCCGCACCTGCAGCCAGCCAAGGGGCCACACGTGCTCTCTGTCCCACACCAAAGACCATGGGGACAGCTTCGCAGTGGGAGCGGTGTGTGGGCACGTAGTGCTGGTGGGCACCACGTGTTCTCCAGCTCACCTCAAACTCCAGGTACTCCTCTTTCTGCTTCAGCTCCTCGTACTCCTTGCCCTTCACCTTCTTCTCTGGCAGGGAGGAGCGGTGCTCCACCAGCTCTGCTGACATCGTCTTGAACTTGGTCTCATGGCTCTTCACCTGCTCATCCTGGGGAAGGGCAGGGGCATGTTGGTGCTGCGCCTGTGCAACCCTTCAGCTGCAGGCAGGGGCAGGAAGAGTAAGCAGGAGCCCCTCCTCAATGCAGCCAGGATCTCAGTTTCTGCTCCTGATCTTTTTTGTTTGTTTGCTTTTTAATTTAAAGTGGCAGGCAAAAGCACAGGCCCTTAGGGGAAAATCTCCTCCTGCCTCTTGGTGGGCTTGCTGCAGTCTTAAAGCTGAAGGATTTAATCCCCTCTAAAACCAGGCTATATTTTTAATCCCTTCTGCTCTATGAATAACTGCGCTGGCGTGAGGGAGATCCTGCTAATCCCCCCTTCCGGTCTCCTTTCAAGGTCCTGGCTGTAGTAGGACCCTGCAGCAAGGAGCACCATGGGTCCCTCCTGGGGAAGGAGTGGGGAGGGCAGTGGAGGGCCTCATGTTTCTCTGCAGTCTGGCTCCATTGGCTGTCCCTGCTTTGGCAGCGCTCGGCATCCTGTCCCCTTCACCTGAGTGTGGGGATGGCAGCAGAGGTCCCTCCATGGGCCTGGACCAACATTTCTGCAATCAGCCACCATGAGCTTTCCCTGCTGCCACAAGACCCCTCCTGAGCTAGGTGGGTCCTGATGCAGCCTTTGCCACCTTCAGCTCCCTCTGCTGCCTCTCCCCTGGCATGTCGCCAGCATCTCCCATGACCCTGGCTGCTGCCATGGAGCGGGGGCCTACCTGGGACAGCCTGGTGCAGGAGCTGGGCAGCAGTGGGCGGCTGAACTTCTTCTGGGAGCCGATGGCTGCGGGGAACGGGGGTGCGGAGAACATCGCTGCCACCACATTGATGCGGGTGATCCAGGAGTGCATCTGTTCAGGGTTCCTGCAGGGAAAGGCAGCACACTAGGAGAAGGGCCGCAAGAGCACCATCCTCTGTCTGCTTTCCCAGCTGTCTGCCAACCCCGACACTTCAAAGCCCAAGGGACTTGTCCTGTATGGGACTTGTGGTCCCCACATGACTGGATCTGTCCAGCTGTGGCACTTGGGACCTCTGCACCCAGCAACTCACCAGGTCAAGCCACAGTGAACTCATGGGAAGGAGGAGGAGAGTTGCTGGGCAAAGCACAGAGCTTGATCTCCTCCCCTTTTCTGGAGAAAGGGCCAAGACAGGATAAGTAATGGGGAGTTCAGCCCCTTCCCACCCATCCACACTTTGATGAGCAAGGATAAGCTTCGTGGCTGTTCCCCAGGGCCTCTGTGGCATAGTCTGCCTTGTTGAGCCTCTCTCCCCAAGCAGCTCTGGGACTACTCACTGTGCTTGGAAGAGGAAGACTCTCCAGTCAGCTGTCCTGAGGTAGAAGACATTGGGTCTCTTGTTGTAGTCGGATGCCCGCGTGGCAAGCGAGTGGTGGATGCTAATAGCATTCTTCAGCTCCTCTTCTGCCAGCGCTTTTCCTGGTTTATACTCCTCCTGAAAGTCAGAGAGCATTTCAGGGCCACCTTAGGGATGCACCTCCCGGGACTCAGCTCTCCAAAGTCACCAGCATTGCAGGCAGTAACTCGCCTGGCAGCCCTGCCTGCAGGGAAGCTGTGAGCTCGGCCCGCCAGGCTGCTGCAGGGCTGCTGGGACGAGGCTGCCCTGCCCATGCATTGCCACAGGCTTGCCAGCAGCCTGGGGGCTGCTAGAGCAGGAGCACGCTCTACAGCACAGGTCCCTGGGCTTGGTAACACGAGGACTGTGACTTTTCCCTATTTCTCTGTGGCTGGGCAGGGTGTCTACATGAGAATGGATTTGCAGCCCAAGCTCCGCAGCTCAAAGGCCCATGGTGCTGCCTCTCTACAGGCCCCCAGCAAAGCCTAAACAGGCAGCGCCCTGAGTTGGCAGCTGCTTTTGGCACCCAAAGCTGAGCATGCTGGAAAAGGGGACGCCGTCAGGTCCAGGGCTCAGGAGATCAGGTTGCTGAAACTGTGATTACGATGGGGTTTGTGACACTTGCTGGGGAGTCCCCTCTTTGCTCTCTAGCACTCACAGGGACTGCTGTGACCAACATCCCACAGAGCTGAGGTTCGGAGATGTCCTCTGTTGAGACCCTGTCATTTGTCCCAGCTCCCAGCATCCCTGGATGGGGTACCCCGTTGCTCCCTACCTTCTGCAGGTAGAGAATCATCCCCTTCAGGATGGCGTGGAACGGCTTCCAGCCACGCTTGCCACGGGGCGCTGCCAGCGAAAACAGAGCAACCAAGACATGAGTCCCCAGGCCGAGCAGGCCGG